TATAAGAGGGTTTTGTATTTTTTAAAAAAGAAATATATGTAGTAAGTACAAAACCTACAACATATCTTTCCTATAAAGTATGAAAGGACTAATGTGCTTTCCTCTTTTATATGAGCTCCATTGTTTTCTAAGCAGCAAAGGCTTTCGATCCCTGTGTTTTCCGTATTAGATTTACTAATAATAAACAATGACTTATTTGAAAAATTATTACCTACTTATTATACATTAAGGAACATAAATTTTTATTATTAATTCATTTAATACCCTAGTAATTTAATCTTAGATAGATAAAAATATTTCCCATGACTCATAAAGTGGTTCCAAGAATAACTAATTAAAACTGCTTTTATTAAGTTACAAACTTAAATATATAATAATGGCTTTCTGTAACTGCAAATGAACACATGAGAATATAAAACAGGATATATAGCATTTGCAAATATACTTCATTAATTTGCAAAGCAAATGTAAAATGTTGAACCTACAAATGCATTTTTATTAATTTTTCACTTATGAACATCTTTTTAATAAGTTATTTGTTAAAAGTATAAACTATACGTAAGAATGCATGCTAAAGAAACTCATTTGACATTTCCTTACTCAATATTATCCTTCTATGATTATACTATTTTTATTCTAAAGCATACTCCCTGTTAAAATGCTTTTAATACACTGGAATTTTTAAAAAGTTTTATAAAATAATTTATTGTCACTCCATGTTTTACATCAAGTTTACATTTTAACTTTGAGTAAATGCAATAATTTTTATTAAAATAGAAAGCAGTACATTAAGATTTAATCCTCAAATAAATTTAATTTTGTGATTCTACAATGTTAAAATTGCTTTTTATTTACTCCTCATCTCTGCAATCCCTGAAAAATTTCAACTAAATGGCAAATGTTTTCTCAAAAGTTACAAAGGCATTTTCAAAAATAAAAGTTCTTTACTGATAAAAAGAAAATTAAAAAGATTGAAGGCATTAATAGTGACTATCAGCACCCTTTGTAACAGCAGTGAGAAAATCAGGAGACACTTCATTGAGTAAGCCTGCTGTCAGAGAACTCTCCAACATGCTGAACAAAAATGACGTCAGCTTGAAGACTAAGGTGTGCCGGATTTAGGCCATGGTCTTCTCAATCACCTGATACACATCAGAGAGCTGGGCAACGCGACTCATAGCGACCCTGTGAAGGAGAGTACTCTCTGCTTGGGTGCCTTTCATCCTCTCTCCAAGTTCATAGGATTTCCGGAGGCAGCTATTATGGAAGTGGATGCCACTCCTCCTTCCAAGCTTGTTTTCATTGGGGAGCTCCACTCCACTCTCAGTCCGAATTGGGTAGCCAATCATTAACGCATTTGACACATCAGTGTCACAGTGTTCAGCCTCACAGAATAAGGATTAGAGAAGAAAAATTGATGCCTTTGAGTTATGGTGCTGGAGAAGAGTACTAGAAATCCCACAGACTGCCAAAGGAACCAACAGATATGTCTTGGAAAAGGTGTGGTCAGATTGCTCCTTGGAGGCAAAGAGGGTGAAGGTTCATCTTTCATGCTTTCAACATATAGCTGGGCAAGGGTATTCCTCAGAAAGGGACTTCATGCTTAGAAAGATGAAGGGTCAAGGAAAGAAAGGAAGAACCCTGAGATAGATTGACACGGTGACTTCAGCAAAGGGCTCAAGTGTGTCAGAGATGATTAGGAGGGCAAAGGATAGGGCAGGTTTCAGGTTGGCAGTTACAGGGTCCCTGTAAGTTGACTTGATGACAGTTCACAGGGTCCCTGTACTTGACTTGATGACACCTAACAACATAAGGAGCTCTGATGCCCTAGGAGTAAGAAGCTGTGCTATAATCCCAAAGACATTCGAATCCACCAGCTGCTCTGCAGAGGAGAATAGGCATACTCCTCTGGTGATATTAACTGCCTCTGAAAACCTGTTGGAGGGTCAGCTATGAGTCAATTCAAACTATAGAGGATACTACAACAACAATATGGAAGAAGTTGTGACTCTAATAAGCATTTCCCTAGCTACAGCAGCTGGTAACTTCTAAAAAACAATAATGAAATTTATCTACTAAAGCTAATATAGCCTCCAGGGTTACTGATTAAACCTATCACTTGACTTAGTGAATCTGAGACCAGTCTTAAGCAAGATATTTCTAATTTAAAGGTAGACTGCAAATATCACTAATATAGACACACTCGACATTAATAAAAGACATTAATAAATGGAGGGGGGAGGAATCTATGTCTTTGTGTTGTGGTGTTGGAGAAGAGTACTGAAAATCTCATGACTGTCGAGAGAACAAACAGGTCTGTCTTGTAGAAAGAGAAACCATGGTGCTCCTTGGAGACAAAGACAAAGATGGTGAAATCTAATCTCACATACTTCAGGCATGTTGTTAAGGAGATGTTAGTCCTTGGGAAAAGACATCATTGTTGGAAAGGTGAAGGGGAAGTGTACGAGAGGAAGACTCTCAACAAGATAAACATCAGGGTGACTATCACAATGGCTTCAAGTATGTCAGAGTTGGTAAGGATAGCCTAGGATAGGGTTTAGAGTCATTGCTCATAGAGTCACTATGAGTCACAGATGACTCAATGGCATATCATGACAATATCTCTCTTTACAAATGCAAATACTTGTCAGTAAATTAAATTGACATCTTCATCTATTATATCCTAAACCATACACACAGATTGGATAAAAATGTAAAAGAAATGAATAATGATTTAAATATTACATTTGTCTCCCTTCATATTCTACATGAGATGATTCAACATACGAAAATCAGTTGATATAAAACATAACAGAAGAGAAAAAGAACACAACTCATTGTTACCTAGTCAGAACTGAGTCATAGCTGACCCTCCAGTGAGTTTTCAGAGGCTGCAAATCAAACAGGAGGAGACTGCCCAACTTTCTCCCAAGGAGGAGTTGGTGATTTTGAGTCACCTGCCTTTGGGCCAACAGAACAACTCTTTCTGTCTAGACTATAAGATCTTATATATAGAAAACCCTAAAGAATCAACTATACAGATGAATTCAGTAGAGATACAGGGTGTAAGATCAATAAACATTAACTGTTCTCTGTACTAGCAATGGACAATCTAAAAAGTAAATAAGAAAATAATGTCATTTATGATAACATTCAAAAGAATTCAATATCTAGGAATAAATTTAACCAAATGGATGAAAGATTAGTATACTGTAAAGTATAAAACAACTGAATAAGAAATTGAAAAGATCCAAATAGATGAAAATTATCTAGTGTCCTGGACTGAAAGGCAGAATTAAGATGTCAGTTCCTCTGTTCAATCTGTAGATTCAATGCAATCATTATAAAAAAATTCCAATAGGTTTCTTAAACAGAAATGGAAAAGTTGATCTTTACAGAGCTCTAAGTGGCCTAATGAGAAAGGAGCTTTACTGCTAACACAAAGGCAGGCAGCTTGAATCCATCAGCTGCTCCAAGGGAGAAAAAAAATCTCCTCCCTTGTGATTTATAGTCTTAGAAACCCAGCTGGAAGGTTAGCTATGAGTCAGTTCTGACTTGATGCCACATACCACCACCACAACACAATAAACAACTAAAATAAACTTGGAAAAGAGAGACAAAATTGGTAGATTTATATATCTCGATTTCAAAACTTACTACAAAGTTAAAATAGTAAAAAGCATGTTTTACTTTGGAAAAGAGAGATAAAATTGGTAGATTTATATATCTTGATTTCAAAACTTACTACAAAGTTAAAATAGTAAAAATCATGTTTTACTTTATCAAGAATACTTAAGACATGACAAGCCTAAGTAACAACAACAACAAAACTCAGATAAAATGGAATTTATCGAATTTAAAAACTTTTATGCATAAATGAACAATATAAAGAAAGTGAAGAGAGACTTCACAGAATGGGAGAACAACAAAACTAAAAGCTGAACAAAAGATTTAAATAGAAATTTCTTCAAAGAAGATATATATATAAATTACCAACAAGTACATACAAAACCTTGTGCAATATCATTTTCCATTAGAGACCTGATGATCAAAACCATGAAAAGGCACCACTTCACACTCACTATTATGGCTATGATTTAAAGCAAATAAACAAAACAAAACCAAGGCAAACAAACACACAAAAACTCCCTCAGAAAACAAGTATAGAAAAAAATTAGGATCTAAATACATTAGAGATATATTGAAAATGCTTCAGCTGTTATGAAAAAAAATGGATGGATCCTCAAAAAGTTAAGCTCAGAACTACCTTATGACTCAGAAATCCAACTAACAAGTATTTTTATCCACAACAATCAAAAGACAGAAACTGACAAAACATCCATCTGTGGATGAATGGACAATGAAATTGTGGTTTATTCCAAGCAATGGAACATTATTTAACCATCAAAAGAAATGAAGTTCTGATAAATGTTATAATATGGATGGATCTCCAAAGCACTGTGCTAACTGAAAGGAGTCTGACACAGAAAACCACATGTTACATTATTCTATTTACATCAAATGTCCCAAATGTCAATATGTAGAGCAGGAAGGAAAATTTATGGTGCCGTCCAGAAAGACAGAAGAAAACTGCTTAAAGGGAAAGAAGTTTTGCTCTGGAGTGATGCGAGTATTTTGGAACTAGATAGAAGTGGTTACACAACACTGTGAATGTATCAAACACTGAAATACACATTTTAAAATAGTTGATTTTACGTCATGTTATGACTTTATCCTCAGTAAGTAATTTTTTTCAAAGCTCTGTATCTGACCTCAGGAGCCATCCAAAATGGTGTTCCTACAGATGTGTTCCGACGGTGCCAGGTGCTGGTGAGCTGAGCAGACACACCTGAAAAGAAGAGAAGAGATTTAAGTTCCTACATTAAATACTTACAATTAATTTCCTTATACATTGAAATTTCCCTCATGTTACCCTGTTAGGCACAATTATAACTGCCCCTTTTTTCACTTTGTGTATGACTGTCCTCAGTGTAAAAGAGACCTAGTTCCCTGTGACTGTGCAAAACCCCTAGCCTTAACCTGCTGTGGACTTGTTGGGTTCTACTCAAATAACATGCTTTCTTTCTCGACTTCTCTACTACAGCAGATACCTGCCATGTAGCACATTTCTTCTGGAAATTCTGGAAGTTTCTCTTAAATCTCTAGGTGAGATATAAAATTAAAATATTTTATTCTCTGACGATGTAATTTTACTTTTATGATCATATTGAAAGTTCTGTTTCAGTCACATAGACATTTCAATGATGGAAATATGCAGAATGATGGAGAGTGTCTTTTCTGTGACAAATTAATTACCGTAATATAAGGTAATTGCATACCTTAGTGATTTACTCCACCTACATAGAAATCCTAACCTAAACAGCATCTTAATCTATGGTCTTCAAATTTTTACTCTGAAAGGTATTAATTATTTCCAGGCTTACTGGTCTGGGGAAACTGGGAGAATCTCCAAGACTATGCTCTTTAGTCACTCTTCAATTCTGGAAAAAACTCTTCTGGCTTAGCTTTTAGCCAGAAAATAAATCTATGTAACAAATCTTCCCAGTCTGTTTGCTTGGTGATCTACTTATGAAAATCAGTCAATTAAAATCCTCTTGACTATAACGTCCACAAAAAAATAATAGGATGTCACAATAAATTTCTTTACTCTATATATGAAGTGGCCATAAGCAGGGGGCAAATAAAAAACTAACAACAAAAAGACTATCATCTGTATAAGATAGAGTTCATATAATTATCTATAAGTAACTATCTACTAAAGTAAGGGCACTCTGGCGTCCTAGTGGATAAGGAATTATGCTGTCAACATAAAGGCAAGTGTTTCAAATCCTCCAGCAGCTTCACAGGAGAAAGATGAGCCATCTCCTCCTATTCAATTTATAATTTCTATGAGTTGCTTCCTACTCAATGGAACATAACAATATTTATATTAATATCAATATGCTCTGAAGGACTTTCTTAGGCAAATGTTGTGCCTCAAAGCTTTAAAATCAAACTTCCCAAACAGACTTCTACCCTTGAACCCTCGGGCTGTACAGGATTTTAAGCTACTGCCTGGAGCAGGCTCCATCTTTAATTACCCTTAGTCTGAGGCTCTGGGCTGCCCACCCACTTTCAAAGGGCAAAAAGAACAGTAATACACACAAAAAAAACGGACCCCAGAAACTTCCGTTGCCTGACTGTAACCAAGACGAGCCAACATCAAGACACCAGCCATTTTGCCAGTTAGCAGGCTTCCAGAGTGGAATACTGTTTGTTTTAGATAAGGGTCTCATAACAAAAGTTTACAGGAACCTACAGGGCCTCCACACAAAAAAAGACTGATAACATAATTACAAAATGGGCAGAAGATATAGAAGGACTTTTCACTGAAAAGACATTCACATGGACAACAGGCACATAAGGAAATGCTCAAAATCACCAGCAATAAGAGAGATGTAAATCTAAACCACATTTACACATCATCTCACCCCTGTAGCAGTGGCAAAGTTTAACAGAATAGCAAGGAATAAATGATGGTGAGGATGTGTAGAGATAGGAACTTTCATACACTGTTGGTGGGATTGTAAAATGGTATAACCACTATGGAAGGCAGTTTGGCACTTCCTCAAAAAGCTGAACATAGAAATTCCATATGACCCAGCTATTCCACTACTAGGAATATACCCCAAGGAAATTATAACTAAGATACAAAAGAAGATTGTACACCAGTGTTTAAAGTAGCATTATTCACCATCATAAGAATATGGAACCAGTCCCAAAGCCCAAACGCCATCCACAAATGAATGGATTATGGTACATTTACACAATGATATATTATGCAGCACTCAGAAACTGCAATTTTGAAAAATACTACATAACTCAGGAGAGATTGGAGACAATTATACTAAGTGAACTAACTCAGTCTCATAAGGACAAATATAAGAACATTATTTTAGAAACAGAAGGATAGCTAGTAAAGCATGTATGGAGACTCAAGGGGAAAGAGGTGGAAGCTGAAGAGTGAAGAGGTGTTGTTACATTCTGTAGAGTCACTTGTGACTCACAGTGACCCTACGAACAAAAGCTCTCAACCCTGCTCTGTCCTGTGCCAATCTCACTGTCTCTGATACACCCACCCCAATTACCCCAGTCACTGAATCACTCCAGGAGGGTCTTCCCCTCTTCTGCTGCCCCTCTACCCTTCCAAGCGTAACATTCCTCTCCAAGGACTGGTCCTTCCTTGTCCAAAGTATGTCAGACGAAGCCTCAGAATTCTTGCCTCCAAGGAGCAGCCCAGTTTAACCTTCTCCAGGATGAACCTATTTGTTTTCTTAGCAGTCCATGGTACATTCAATACTTTCTCCAACACCACAGCTCAAAGGCATCAATTCTTCTATCCTCCCTAGTAATTGTCCAACTCTATGATGCATAACAACCGATTGCAAAGACCA